GGGGTATTTACCCCCAGGATTCGGGGGGGGGGTAAATAACCCCAATAACCCCCCTTATTTACGCTTGGTTATTATTGCTTAGTTGATGATTTGGCAAAGATAAAAACAAGTTATCTTAGAAATTGACAGTATAAATTTCGTACAATCGTGTCTGAAATCTCATCCTTTGAGGGTAGCCCTGTATTTCCTAAAAGTTGCAGGAAATGTTCCGAATAGATTTTGAGGAACATTTTTGACCCAGAAGGAGATGAATACTCAAATTAAAGCCAAAACCGTAATATTTTATTTTAAACCAGATACTAATGAAAATTAATCGAAATTCGAAAATAATGAATTTTTTATGAAAACCGGAAACTGATCCAATAAATGAGGGAACCGATCGAAAAAAGGGTACAAACCAATAAAACTGGGATATTAACATTTTTTGAAAACCGGAAACGGGCCCAAATAAAGAGGAAACCTACTAACAAACTGAGACTTTAAAATTCTTTTTTAAAAAACGGAAACAGACCTAAAAAAAGAGGAAACCGATCAACAAACTGAGAATTTAAAACTTTTTTTGAAAACCGGAAACGGACCCAAAAAATGAGGAAACGGCCCCAAAAAAAGAGGAAACCGATCAACAAACTGAGAATTTAAAACTTTTCATGAAAACCGGAAACTGACCAAAAAAATAAGGAAACAGACCCAATAAAAGAGGAAACCGATCAAAAAACTGAGATTTTAAAACTTTTTTTGAAAACCGGAAACGGACCCAAAAAAAGAGGAAACGGACCCAAAAAAAGGGGAAACCGATCAAAAACTGAGATTTTAAAACTTTTTTCAAAACCGGAAACGGACCCAAAAAAAGATGAAACTGACCCAAAAAAAGAGGAAACAACCCCAAAAAAAGAGTAAACCGATCAACAAACTGAAAATTTACAACTTTTTCTGAAAATCGGAATTGACCCAAAAAAGAGGAAACCGATCAACAAACTGAGAATTTTAAACTTTTTCTGAAAACCGAAAACGGACCCAAAAAATGAGGAAACGAATCGAAAATATTGGGAAATCCCTCAAAAATAATGGGCAATCCCTCAACAATATAAGACTCTGATAAACCGGAATCCGACCTAAAAATCGAGGAAACAGATCAAAAAAAATGGGAAATTCCTCTAAAAATTGGATTTGAGGGATTTCCGATAAGTTTTGAAAAAACAGGAAACGCCTCAAAAAAATTCATTTTGGGAAGGTTTCCGTTTTTTTGGGTCCGATTCTGTGTTGAGGCGTTTTAGTGTTGAGGCGTTTCCATAGCACCATTAGCTCCAAGCAAAGTCAGATCAAGGAGAATAGATTTCCAGTATTCAGTATTTGGTTACAGAATCCAGTATCCTGTTCCTCCAGTATATTTTGAACAGATTTTTAGAGCTACTCTTTTGTGTGACATGGGCCATAACTAGATTATACCGTTACTAAAAAATACATTTTTATTTCTCAGTTTTAAATTTTCTTTCCTTAAAAGTTGTCCCGAGAAAAATGAAGTAACTCGCCAAAAGTGGACCTTATATTCGAAAATGTGCTCGGTCTCCTTTTTAAGTATTGGTGTAAACTGCCCCAAAATCAAAATTTGGGTTATATGTCAACATATCCGTGCGTTTGTGCGTTATCTTTTCTGTTATTTGTGATAATCTTGAATCAAAATAAA